GGGGGAGGTTGGGGGGGCGGAGGGGGAGGACCGTGGCGCAGTCCGAGGGATGAAGCCGTGTGGGGCTGGGAGTGTGCCCGCAGCGGGGGAAAGGTGCGTGATGGGCAGAGGAATAACTTTTTAAGAGAAAGTTGCGTATCTTCGTGTGCAAATAGTGCAAGAATAGTGAAGAAAAAAAAAAAAAAAAAACCACCAAAAAAACACCACCCCAAACCTCTTGGAAATGAGTTTCTGCGAAAAGAAAGAAGGATTTTGCTCGGGGTTAGGCTTTATCAACTTCCCACTTCATATATTTTCTCCTGTTTTTTTTCTTTTTTTTTAAAAAAAAAAAAAGTGTATCGGTGCACAACAAAATCTTTATTGCGTTAAACCACAGGCGGTCAGCAAAGGACCAGCTGCGTTAGCTGCGCAATGAAAACTTTCAGGTGATGCGAGAAATCAGAGGGGAGCACCTTCCCCTTCTCCCTGATCCTCCAAACGCCTTTCAAATCACCCAGCTCTCAGGGTCGCTGCTCCACAAAAGGCGTTCCCAAAACCTGCGGCCGGTAAAACTTTGTAAAGGTAAAATTAGCTAAACCCCTTCTACTGACACAATTGGCTTTTGTTGCCGTGTATGGTGGAGTTCCAGGATCTGTAACTATTTTTTCATACAAGATTTTTCTTACTGCCCAAGTGAATACATTCCGCTGCAGTAGCTCTCAATGGTGTCGCTTCTTTCCTTCAAAGCAGCGGCCGATTGTGTCTTCAGAGACCCCAAGTCCTTTCGGGGAGGGGGGGAGGAGAAGGGGAGGGGGGTGACAGTGATAATGCAGCGGGGCTGAATCGCCACGATAGATCTTATTTTAGCAGGAATCCTCCCCAAAAAAGCGCAGCAAGTGCTGGGGGAGCGGGAGAGGCTTCGGGGCGGCCGGCGGCCGGGCTGGGGCGAGCGGTAGCCCGGGGGCTGGAGCCTTTCCCCGGCCGAAAAGCGAGAGAATCTCTGTGTGTCCGTCTGTCCGTCAGGCAGAGGGAGAGAGGGAGGGAGGGAGGGAGGGATGGACGGGCGGGCAGCTGCGCGGAGAGCCGCGGAGGGCTGCGGTTGGGGTACCGGTGGCGTTGCCCCGCTCCCCCCGGGGACACCCCGCACCGGGGGGTTCCCTCGCAGCGCCCTGCGGCTTCCTCAGACAAAGTTTCCCCCCCCCCCAACACACACACACTGTGGAGTTCCAGGATCTGTAACTATTTTTTCATACAAGATTTTTCTTACTGCCCAAGTGAATACATTCCGCTGCAGTAGCTCTCAATGGTGTCGCTTCTTTCCTTCAAAGCAGCGGCCGATTGTGTCTTCAGAGACCCCAAGTCCTTTCGGGGAGGGGGGGAGGAGAAGGGGAGGGGGGTGACAGTGATAATGCAGCGGGGCTGAATCGCCACGATAGATCTTATTTTAGCAGGAATCCTCCCCAAAAAAGCGCAGCAAGTGCTGGGGGAGCGGGAGAGGCTTCGGGGCGGCCGGCGGCCGGGCTGGGGCGCGCGGTAGCCCGGGGGCTGGAGCCTTTCCC